CTTAATTATATACTTTATTTTGGTATTGTTGTCGGCATAGATGTTAGAGGTATTAAAGGTGTCACGTCATAGAATCTCCTATTCACGATACCTGGGTATTAGTTGGGTTCAAACAGGATAAAGAAAGAATAAAACATGCCTGAATGAGGAAAAAAATAGACAGATGATATGAAGCAGGTAGTGACACCTATTGTTCATTGGGGGCCCAATAGAAGCAATACAATGGGGTTCGGATTCTCCAAAAATTACATATTATGGTTAAGAGCACGTTCGTTTTAGGGCGCGGTATTAATAGGTTACGTAATGTACTTTATATAACCTATATTTAATGTATATGGTTGTAAAATGCCCTTCACAATCATGTGATGGATGTCACTAAGCCAATCAAATTATTTTTCGATCTCCGATCTAGAGATCATTTTGTTTTAAAACACGGGTAGACCATCTCCTGGGGAAACAATTACATTATACATACATGTATGTGTAGACGTTAGATGATGTAGTTTATTAGGGGCTTAACCTCTTTCATTAAGGTGAAATAAAGTTTTTTGTTTTTTGTCGGGGTGTTTTTTATTAGTGATAGGACAAAATCCATATATAGAATTAATTATTGGTTCGAAATATTAAGAAGTCCGTTTGTTTAATAATTTTAGTTTCGTTTAAAGCAGTTAAAGTCGGTCAAAATACAGTATTGAATTGAATATTGTGTTATTTCGATTGTTGATGGCACAAAATTTATACGATCGAATGTTAGTTTGAAATATTTCTCAGAAATCCGTTTGTTTAATAATTTTTAAGTTTCGTTTGTGGTTTAAACCGTCGATTGTGGACCACGAAAATCAGTTATATCTCAAAACTGACTATATCTGTCGACCCGAAAGTTTAAATTAAAACAGATACCATCTTCTTAAAGAAAACCATCCATAAATATACATTTTTATCTTTTACCCAAATGCGACATCAGTCGTTTTTTTTTCGTATGCTTTTATGCAAAACTGTTACTTATCACTAAAGTTACACCCTTTTCTTTGTGTAGATAATGCATAATGTGGATACCAAATTAATATTCATATACATGTACATGTAAGTAAAACTGTGTCGGCAATTATTTATATTTCTCAACACATGCTATAATATTATTTCAACTTTACTAAAGAAAATTAACAAAGATCTTTTATATAAAAACAATACAGTATTACAGTTAATTATTTAACGTGCGATGTTTGAATGGATGAATGAATGAAGGTTATTGTCCTACTTTTCTGCACCAACATAGGCTATGCCGTGCGCTGTAAGGGAAATTTTGCAAGGACAGCAATTGTATTTCACCTGTCAAGGCTTCTTCTACATGCTGGTCAAGGTGTACCGAATTGGTGATCCAATTGGATATGGAGTTGGTGATTGTATTGGATAATGAACATTTTACGGTTTCTGAAAGTGATAAAAAGTCTCCATAATGAGATGATGCATCGGATATGACGGCTCTTTTCAATATTTGTTTTTCTGTTATAATATATGACATTGCTTGATTTGTGTATCACGTTACACTTTTAGCGAAAATTATAATAAAAATGAAATTTCGAGAGGCTTTAAACCTGTTATCGATATTGAACGATCGTAGCTTAACATTCCAGTTCATATATTAAATATTGAATGGTGTCTTAAATGGTGCTACATGTATAACTAATACTTAATGTACCATTTAAGTTAAAGTGGCTATTAAACATAATACTATTATATCCAATATGAATATCACAGTGCTGTACACTATTGGGGTTTACCCAGTACTTTACAAGCATTTTATATATTTACCAACAATAAAACGATTCCTCAATTCAAATTTCAGACTAATTTGATCATGGTCATCTCATTCCATGACAGGGGGCGTTTAAAATGAGAATAACCGTAAATTCAAGATGATATTTTTCGCTGTTTTTTTTTTCTTTAATCACGCTAATAAATAAAGGGCTCGCAGAGATTTGTCAATTTTCACTATACATATACTTCCGATTATGCAATACATGTATATGAATTAATGGCGAAATTGGTATATTTAACAACAAGTGGGCCTAGTACAAATTAACTCTTGAAACTAGATATACCGTATTGTTAGATTATGGTTTAAAACCAGACTAATGATATATATGATAAGTATATATTATTATAGCGCCTGTAGGTATTAGGTTTTTTAAGATGGACTATATAGATAATAACATGACGGTAGTATTCATAGCAATGTGACTTACAGCTCTACTATAATTAGCATACACAAACATGTATAACATAGAAATACTTCAAGATTATCATATTCTGGTCAGTCGTAAATGCTCAAAATTAGTCATGTCATCTCCGACTGTCTTATATTACGTTGTATTTTGGATCAGAACTTTTCGGGAATCCATTATTTGTGGTAGCTTTCGCTAAAAATCCTTGTGGTGGCCATGCCATGTATTAGAGGAAAATAGTGAGTGGTCAAGATCTGAATTTGTTACGAAGACAGTTTCTAGGCTAATAAAATTAGTTCTCAAGGGAAATAACTCATCTATGCCTTTCTCAAGACTAATTTTCAATAACGTTGATAGATTTATAAATTTGTCAAAATAAACGTCAAGTTCACGCAATTAAACATTAGGTTTGGGTGTCGACAGGTATGTGTAGGGAAGATCGTATAACCAACGACAGCCAGGGAGAGTTCAATGTCGTAGACAAGCCCAAAAGTCATAACAGGATAAGCTTAAAAGTCATCACCACAAACCAGTCCCCGCTTGTCAAAGCCTTTGTTAGCTCATTGACAACACCTTGATTGCATAACAAACACAGATTGAACAATGTAATATCATTATCAATGGGGCTAATTAACAGGATAATCTAGTGTAATTTACAACATTGTTCTCGTTTAATGGCATCTATAGAAAGTTTTATAAACAGAATTAAAATTTCTGACCGTTCGCCGTTTCCAGTTTAATAGACACGAACGGATATACATGTATCATAACTTGAAGAGTAAAAGTAATTTGGAAATGTCTAGCATCAATATAGACACACCTAGATTTCTCTGTTTCTGGGAGGAAGGGGTGTGTCGAGTTGATTCGTTCGTTACTTTTATCTTAGTTCTAAAGTAGATATAGGTTGATATCTAATCTTAAAAGTGGGATTTAACGTCTACTCAATATAAATTTGGGCAATTCGGGACCTACACGTGGTGCAATTGTATTGCAATAATTCGCCTGCGCGTAGAGAGGTCTTTCGCAGTTGGGAGAAACTTGAGAACCATGGGAAAATGATATTTAAAATAAAATGCATCTGTTGAATACCCCTAATAGTGATCCATTTATACAAAAACTAATAAGACAACCTTGTGTGATCTGAGGATGTGTTCAAGTCATCTTTAAAGAGTCAGAAGGTGGACTGTATATAAGAGAACCTCATTGTTGACTCCACAATGACAAAATAGCACAATCAAACCCTTCGTTCTGATTCAATGAGTTCTTCAATAATGTACACTTTTAACAAATATGTGGACTATTCACCACCCAATTCGCTATGTATTTTCTCTTACTCTCGACTAAGGGTTTTCAATCGATATACACGGCCCCTTTGGTGTGAGCAAGTGTATTAAAGAGTGTACAAGCATTCTTATAGTTTGTTAATAGACTGGGAACGACTTTCAATGACTTTATAAGAAGGTAGCTTATTAGTCTACTTTTATATTATGTATATCCATTTCCAAACACCTGTAACCATTTCAAGTTATTTAACATGATTTCTTTATGCTCCTATCATCGAAATGAAGATAATGAATAAAATTATATAAGAATTCAAACGAGTATTAACAAGTTTTAAAGTGTTAACAAAGTAGTTTAATTACATAAAATTGAATCTGAGAAGGTATATTACATGCATGCATACGAACATGTGAGAATATTCTTAATTTAAATTTACGCCAACAGACAAGAAACTATTACAATATTGTCAAAAGGGTGTTTTGTCAATCTTTTAAAGCATAATGCGTTTAAACTGTGTCTAGACAGCATCAAGAAATTTCAATCCATCCCAGTCAATATAAATTGAATTGTTTCCCCATGCAGCTAATAATAGATTAAATTTGCAAGAAAAGTAAGTAGGCTTTTGAAATCTGAAGTTCAAACTATCATCCATATACAATAAATTGTTTCCCATGATGCTATCTATTAATAGATGGAATTTTCTAGACAAGTAAGTTGGCTTCGAAACTATCTTCCAAATTATGTACATGTATATGCATGAGGCCAGGGGCGTGGTGATCCCTGATTTTGCATGAGGAACAAGATCCCGATCGTGCCCCCAAAAAACAATAATTATATGAGGGGAGGGGGCAGTACCTCCCGCGGGGTGCAGTCCCCCCCCCCCCCGGTGCCACCGGTTAATACTGGCCCGTCCGTGTGGAACATGCGATGGTGTCGATTTGCAGAATATCTGACCCACGGTATATGTTTGACACTGGCTGAGCATTATGATTATGATTATAATATTGAAAACCGCATTGAAACCGCATAATTATTTTGCCATTTGCGAAGGAGCGCAAAAACTCAAAGGGACGCAAAAACTCAAAACCATGACGAAAAGCTCGTCATTGCGTCCCTCTCACTTTGCCCCTGCACAAGGCAGGGTGTATCTACACTTTATATATGACATTCTTCTTTCAGTGTGATAATTGTTTTAAAAAAAGATGTACATTATGAATTAGGAATGTGTGTATATGTTCTTTGTAGTGTAGACTATTAATGGCATGTCTGCGACTTTTTAGACAAGTCCATTAATATTAACCTAATAGGTGGCATGTTTATATATTAAAAACACGCGATTAATTCAATTATGCAAGCTTGAATTTTAATATTATACAGTTAAAATGAATAGCCTACTGGTACACGTAGGATAATACACTCGAGTATTATACTTATTAACATATTATACAAATGTTCACTGTTCAAATATGTTTTAAAATATCAATCTTTACTTACCCGTTGAGCTTTTAATAAAACAATGAAATCCACACAAATTATCACAGTCGCTAAAATTATATTGTATTGCTTCATATCTTGATTTCTACAGCCCTTGGGGCCAAAATAGTTTCTTAATAAAACAATATCCGAAATGTAAGTATCCTTAGAGAAAACGAAAATAACTGTACAGAGATCTAAAAAAAATGGGACGAATGGGGTCTCTAACCCTGCCTCACTAGTCCAGCTCGTGAAGTCCTACTGCACAGGTAGTCACGTCGCTTACAAGGCTACTTGTTTCCCAATAAGCCACACCCCTCGGTTCGACTACTCGTCAAGCATAACGCCTTACAAATACACCGAAAAAAAACATACGCTTGAATGACTTCTGATGCGTCTCGGTCATATGCGGCTTTTGTTTAAGTATGTCGTCATTAGACTAACATTGTACTGTGTGGAATACATGAATAAGGTGTTAATGGCGTCAGGTGAAACGAAGACAGTAGTAGGATTAAAGGATTAAGAATCTCTTGTGCATTATAATTTCATTATTTATCTGCTTTAGCTTAGCCCGAAAATTAAAATAAAATCAGTCCCGAACAGCCTATCGCAACTTCTAAAGCTCGGTATTTTCTTCTTTTTTTTTTAGGAAATTCCTTTGATGACGACGCAAACAAGGTTTACTATAGAAATAATTCAATTGATGAAGTGGTGCGTGTGTATTCTAAAGAATGTCGTATCCAGGAATCTGCTAAGGTGAATAGGAAGGGGGGGGGGGGTCATAAGACTGCTAGGGGCTTAGGGACATACGTTGTGGGAAATTTTTAATCATTCTTCCCGTTTGAGCGAGTTTGTTAATAAAATAATGTTAGTTGCATTACGTTTCCATTTTTTAAGAAATGGACTGCATTATATATACTATTCAAAAAAAGTAGGGGATATTTGATTTTGGGGGCATAATACTAAAATATGCAAATGACTACGAAAAAAGTCACTATAGAACCTAACAGAAGAAACATTTCGAGTTACATGTGACGCCCAAACGCACCAATAGCTACCGCATGGAATGCAGGTGATGCTTGGGATCATCATGGTGGTCCAACCCAAGATTTGCACGACTCTGACTTTGAATGTTACAGTCATTGTGGCATTGAATTCCAGGGTGGAAACATCAGTTTAATTGTTTTAGTGACCAGAAAACAAATTTTGATATGCGTCGGCTTACCCAAAATGAAAGGTTACGTGCTCTTGGCATGCTACAGATCGGCACAACACAGGCGGTTGTGGCGCGGACGATGAATGTTTCTCAGTCTGTCATAAGCAGGCTATGGTCCAGATACCGTGATACACAATCTGTACATGACAGACCACGCTCAGGTCGACCAAGGGCGACAACTCAAGCCCAGGATCGATTTATCCGTACCTTGGCCTTGAGAAATCGTGTCATCACAGCAAATCAGATCAGCGCTCGTCTTCAAACAGACACTGGTGTGAGAGTGAGTGGCCAGACGATTCGGAATCGACTGCGTAGGGGTCACCTTCGCGCCCGACGTCCTCGCGTGATCCCTTGTTTGAGAGATCATCACATTCAGGCAAGACGTCGTTGGTGTAGGGATCGTCAACACTGGGATAATCGACGCTGGAGCAATGTGATGTTTTCAGATGAGTCAAGGTTCACTGTTGATTTTTTGGACAGACGTAGGAGGGTGTGGCGTCGTCGAAACGAGCGCTTCCAAGACGTTAACGTCATCAGACATGATCGATTTGGGAGTGGTTCTGTTATGGTGTGGGGAGGCATCACTGTTGCTGGAAGAACGGCTTTACATGTTGTTGCAGGGCGTACTACCAGGACAACATCTTGGCAGTCCATGTTGTGCCGTTCGCACGACGTCATGGCCGCCGTTTCATCTTCCAGGATGACAACGCAAGATGTCACAGGGCCAGGATCGTTACAGGTTACCTCCAACAACAGAACATCACCACATTACCTTGGCCAGCACTGAGTCCCGACCTCTCCCCCCTCGAGCATGTCTGGGACATGCTTGGACAGAGGTTACGTCAACGTCAACAACGTCCTGCCAATGTCCAAGAACTTGCTGCTGCGTTGCAACAGGAATGGGACAATCTGGACCAAAATGACCTTAGACGTCTCATTAGGAGTATGCCACGTCGGATCAATGCTTGTTTGGCAAACAGAGGAGGATTTACCCGTTACTGACTTGGTTGTGATGCTGTGGTAACTTTGCTGTTTGACCCCGGGTATCATTTTACCCTTATAATGGTCAGTCTGTGCCTTACTTAGTCTAACGATCATTTGGAATAAATCGATGAATGTGAACTTCATTTCATTTTGTCATTTGTTTCTTCGTCAGTTTCATTAGGTGACTTTAATAACACTTAAAAATCAAATATCCCCTACTTTTTTTGAATAGTATACAAGACAGACGAGGCCGTTAATCTCTATGCAAATTTATGTCAGTTTTGGCAAATACATTCCAATAAATGATATGGCGTTAGAGTTATTGTCGGGGTGGTAGATTTATGTTTACAAGAACATTTTAACATTTTTATATGTATTTTGATCTTATTTAGAGCATGAATGGTATTTAAGACCCAAGCTAAGAATACAATATTGATATTTGGTTCATTTTCGATCGTAGTGGCTATACCACTACATATCTTACTTTTAGGTAATGTATTATAAAACTAGCCGTGTTTATAGACAACTTGTAACACACTGTATGACGTATGTCCGTCTTCATTAGTCCAGTCGCTGCAGAAAAGTAGGACGTTAAACCCCCTTTCATTTCATTTAGACAATTTACCTAAACATGCATTATGCATGCAAGCGCTAAATCTGCCTATTGCAGGTTTTTCTTAAGGCCTTAAATGTTATCTGAATTATTAATTAGACATTAATTAACTTAACAAGGCCATAATGAACTCTCGATGCCATCGTTAGCCTGCGTTATTTAGTGGATTTGAAAACGTTTTGAAATAGATGATTTAACGTAAAAATGGATAATCGAGACTTTGTTTATTATCGTACCAACGGTAGTAATGACGATAGAGGTTAGGCTAAAATTGAATCGCTAATATCTCGATTCCGATTGAAGCAATTTTCAGCATATTCTGTTTTCAAAATCCACTTTAACTATTATAGCGAAAATTGTCAGCTCTTTATCCAATCCGATCTAATGCCCCTTTAAACCTCTTTTCGTGCACGTGTGTTCACGGTTTTTTCACGTGCGTTTTTTGCCGGTAACCAGCTCAATAACATTTGTATTAGACCGACTTTTTCGCCGGCGAAAACGTCACAAAACACACGCACATGTAAAACGGACCTTAGATAAAGTCTACTGATGACGGTTTTTTTTGTTGTTTTTTTTTACGATCGTGATCAAGATGTTATTGAATAAATAACGTCAGGAATGACGATCTATATTTCTAAAGATATATTTCTAAACTTGCATTAGCCCTACCGATAGGTTAGAATTTTAACCGCATTGGTGATTTGTTATTAAAATAGCTTAATTTTATTTTTAATAATCCAAAGTGCGACGTCATGGATGATACAGCCCAAAAAACATCACGAATTTAAACACTCGAGTGGATTCTTTCAAGACAAATTTCCTTTTAACTCGTCAGACGGCTAAGATATAATATGATAGGCCTATTAATGGAACATCACCATTTATAAAAGTTATCAGTTATTCATTGATTTCGAATAAGGTTGGGACATAAATTTTGTTTTGGTATGACACGAGAGTGAACGCCCCTAACTTTCACATGCGTAGTAGGGCTGGTTTATTTTTATCCACAGTATATAAATAAAAATCCCGATTGCAAAAATTGTCCAATCACTTTAAAAGTGGTTGGGTAGACCAGCGTTGTTAAACAAAATGCTCATTCATCTCCCGGATTTCAAAATTATTGATCATTATTCTTACTAGTAATTATTTGCCACTAAGAAACCAAACCCATTTTTTAGTTTTAAAATAAACTCGATATCCATCATCGTGGATAACAAGTGGATTAAATAGACGATCCCTAATCTGTACAAATTGACGTCAATCCACTTTCTAAATTCTAAATTCGATTATAAAACGATTCTTTGTTCTTGTCCATCTTCTTGATCTTGTGGCTAAGTAAGACGCTGGCTTGCTAGCCTGAAGGTCGCGGGTTCGCTCCCGGAGTTGGCCGGGAAAGTTCATCGGGATTTTCCGGCGTGGTTTCCTCTTGTTAGTAATGCAAGGCGGAAGGCCTGGCAAGGACATCTGTCTAGTCGTTCGGGTGGTAAGAAAACCCGAGATCCCGTGTACACATTGGCGTGCACGTGAAAGATCCCTTGGCAGTTGGAATTCGATATAAGAGTAGGCCGTAGCGCTTGTTGCCCGGGCAAAATTTCCCTCATAGCACACTGTATGGCGTATGCCCGTCTTTATTATCCCAGTTGGAGCAGAACGGTACGACGTTAAACCCAGTTCATTTCATTATATATAATGTCTAAAATATTGCTAGGGAACATTTTAAAACTAATTCACCATTTTCGTAAATATATAGAGGATATTTGTCGTTTTAGAGTGAATAACATATTTTATTTCATCGAGAAGCAAGAAAACTTATATTTTCACGAATGCGTAGCATGAGTGAAAATATAAACGTTTTCTTGCTTAGAGATGAAATAAAATATGTTATTCACGACAAAACGACAAATGTTCTATTTATTTTATGATTTTACAATAATTTTAGGTAAAAACAACATGGACTACTGCTAGCCAGTGGAATAACACTTTTATTTCACTGATAAAACGCGGTATTCCACTACTGATCATAAAATAAATAAAGATATAGACTGAAAATAATACGCACGGATTTTTTTTCTGTTTTAGTGGGAGGAGGGGTGATTTACTTTTCGTTGGGGGGGGGCTTCCTTAACCGTCGAACTTGTAATTAGATTATTTAATCTGTGTTTTATATGTAACGGGTAATAGAGGTTTGACAATAATTTGTTTGACCATATAAACATATCATTTGGTAATATTAATAGGTATTGTTATTTGTATTGTATATAGAAAGGATAATATGTGTACTATACTGGTTAGGTTAATATTTACACCTAACATTGCCAGTCAATAACCACCCATCTTTGACCTCTTATACCGTGTTAAAGGTATGTAAAGCCCTTTGTA